TATTTACCTACATCAGCTTTTCGGAAGAATGCCGTACCTGGTAAGTAATTGCACTTTTAAAACCCTTGTTAGCCTGCCTATTGAGTATCTAGTAGATTAGATAGTGACGAACTAGTCAGCTGATTTCCGTTTTCATTCTCAGTACACGTGGAAAGAGATAGCAATTGTTTTCATTGACTAAGCGACGCATCGCGCGTAATTTGTGAACCACATTATGCAGAATGTAGTCAATGTTTACTTAATTACTTTATGTAATTAACTGGTCCGGGGTACGAAATTTCTTCACAATTGTAATCTGTAAACATAACACTACCTCCCATTAAAGCCGTGGCAGATAATTATAGAGCACCTTATATACCTATGTTATACAAATAAATATTCTGATTTTGCTTCATCAACAGTCATCAATCTTTTCATGCATGCTCGTTGGTTAAGGGTACTTTTAATTATGAGAAATCATATCTGCCTATTTAACCATTTAAACTGTCAAACACCAAGCGGTCACCGGTGACTGCAACCTATTGTTCTATAATTGTGTCTACAAAACCGGTACTCGACGAGTTAAATATATACAAGAGTGATTTATATTTTGTACTATTAGTGTATTTATTGCATTATAAATTTACTAGCGACCCGCCCCGGCTTCGCAGGGGTGCAATATGTATATACATACAAACCTTCCTTAAGAATCACTCTATCTATTAAAAAAAACCGCATCAAAATACGTTGCGTAGTTTTAAAGATCTAAGCATACATACGGACATACAGCGAAAGCGACTTTGTTTTATACTATGTATTGATATTTGAGATTGGTGTATATTGTGTATATATCTCTTTTTTATGTAAAGAGCAACTACTACAAATAATGACTCAAGAGGTTTGTATTGAAAAGTTTAATATAAAAACATTCTTAAGATCAGTTTGTGATAGATAAAAATGTAAGCTGTATGTACGCAGATAAATGTTATGTGTATGTTATTTCTTTTTTCCTTTTTTGCCTTTCTTTCCTTTGCCTCCTTTTGCTTTCTTATTTTTGCCTTTGCGTTTCTTTGAATTCGGTTTTGTAATGTCGCTAGGACTGCATTGTTGCCCAGTATTGCTGCTTTCTAAAGGTTTGTTGTCACAAGGACCTTTTGGTGTTATCAGTTCTATTTCAAGGTCAGTTTTTTTATCCTTTGTTTCCAATTTCTTACCAATTTTTAAAATGAACACATCTTTCTGTGGATGCAAAACTTTCTGCATATTGACAGGAACAGGGCAACTACTGGGTGTTACATTGATAATTTTCTTGTCTTTCCTATCAGGCGGTCTCTCTGGTCCTTTCAATGTATACTTCAAGTTTGACGTGTAAGTCTTTTCGGGATACGCAACGTCTTTTGGTAATTCGAATTGTATTTGTTCTCCAGTATTGTATGCTGTACTGTCACATGAGCATAATTCTTGAATCTTATCATATTTCCCCATTCTTTCTACCTTACTGGTCTTTGGAACTCTGATCCTCAATTCATTGACATTCATTTTGGTATATATTTCATCATATTTTGGCGCTCGATCTAGAAAACATTATTATTTAAATTTTTTAGGCAACTTAGGCAACTGACATTTATAGCAGTACACTGTACAGGACGGATACAACTTACCATTCTCGTTGTAAGGCACAGGAGTTGGTTCATAACACCGTCTAGAGAGAGCGCTAGATATTTGCGATTGCGGACTTTCTGATCGTCTGTGTAGATCGGAGCAACATGTTGTTGCTTTTTTCGTCATCACTCCTTCATCAAGTAGTATCTTACCCTGATCATTCATTTCAACCTTATGACAAGAATACATGGTCATGCCGTGGTCTTCTTTGAGAAGGACAGACGCCTCTTGTGGTTTCGGTGATGCACAAAAAGCCGTCGTTATCTCTTTGCCCAAGAAGGACATTCTAACTGTTACTTCAATAACTCCTATAGAGTCTCTATTTTCACCATCACAGCATGACAAGTAGTACATGTTCTTAGAAAGTGGGGTAGAAGTGGTGCACAAGATATTGTCTTGCGGCTGTTCCATCGTCCATTTCTTACAAAGTTCTTCTCTTAATTGGTTAAATTCGCATGTGAAGTCCATATGAGTTTCAGCTATTCTCGTCACACATGTAGAACACGGAGGCTGCTTTGTCAAAAGCAAATCTATTTCGAATTCCTTAATATTGCATATTTTATCGTAAGTCATGGCAAACATGGTCGATTTGCCAACATTTAATTTACTAAAATTCTCAATTTTGCCAAAAGACGAATCATATAATACAATTGGTGGTTTTCCCAAAAATATGGCTGATATAACCAAATTATTGTAATCTATCTCGAAACATTCACATTTCATATGAATTTTGTTTACTATCATTTCAATGAGAAATAAGTGATATGGAAAATTAACATCTTCGTCCTTAGTACAGCAGCACAGTTCTTGCTTGGTGCGTTCGATATCTTCGGTCAAACACTTTATGGATTGTCTCAAAGCATTAGCTTCGTTTGTCAGCGCTTTGCTCATACATGCTATCTTGTCAATATTAGTAGTTAACTTATTTGATTTAGAATCCACGATATCGCTTGCAAGATCTTGGACAGTTTCTTTTAGTTCGTTAAACTTTTCGGTGATTGATTTACTATCTGGGCTGCCATGACGCAAACTCGGTGTTCTTGAAATCTTGTCTTTAGGCATTATTGCTGAGGGAAAACTTTTCTTCGTAGGCTGTTTTTTTGAGTTTAGTTCGCTTTTACTATTGTTGTTCTTTCTCAGAGACTTCTTTTTTGTGTCTTTTGATTCCAATTCGAATGTTGTGGTGCTTCCTTTCTGGGGTTTTTCTTCTTTTGTGGATTTTTGGTCCAGTTCGAATATGTCCTCTATCAGAGATTTTTCTTTTGAGCTTTTTTGATTCAGTGAATCTAGTTCCAATTTCTCACTGTTGTTCTTTGGCGCTAGTATTTTTGCTGGATCCAGTACAAATACATTAGTATTCAAAGTGTTGGTAGGTGTGGCGCCTTGCACGGAACTGATTGGTAGTAAAGATAGATGGGCGGACTGCGCCGAGGGCGTTGCACTGCGCAGGGAACTTGTCTTCGTAGCAGACGGTTGCGGAGACTTTGCGACAGACAACTGTGGTGACGGTGCAATAAGCGGTAAAGGTATGACTGGCAAGGGAACTTCTACGGCCGGATAAACTTCCAAATTTATATTAGGTTCTTGTGTTGAAAATTGTTCTGATGTTGCCTCGGCATCATCCATTTCAATTTGATTGAAATGTTATGAATTAAAACAACATTGTATTGAAAAAAATCACATTTTATATTATTGGTGCCATAGTGAGATAATCATAGCCTTACAGATTTGGGTTAATATTTTAAAAAACAGTCACCAATTAAATGTTCGTAATAATATATTGCTTCTATGCCAGTTGTAGTTTTTACTTTTTACCGACTTTAAAAAAAGGAGGAGGTACTATGTTCGGATGATTGATTTTTTTTTTGTTTGTTCACCAATTACTTCGTCGCTTTCCAAAATTCTTGTTTTGTTTGAAAGGTTGTTCTCTCGAGAGGATCCCATATTCATCCGTCAGGATCTGATGATGGAGCCGACAGGTAGTTGACGGAACTCCTCAACGGTTTAAAGTAACTACCTTTTGTTATGGCTGAAGAAGTGTAATTGTTAAGGGAACTCCACGATGGTATACAGTAAGGACAGTAACTACCTTGTGTTTGGGGTTGATTATATTTGTATTGATGAGAACTTTACACCTTGATGGAGTGGATCTGTCAAAGTTTGTGGTTCATTAAGGTCTGATGATGAAGAAATATAATTGTTAAACGAACTCTTCAACCGTTCACCGTATTAAAGAAGTTAATATTAGGTATTTATTAGGGTTTTAATGAATAATTTTGTTCAGTGCATATGACACTCACTTATCTTTAAAATGTCTGTCTCTTTATCTATAAAATGATCTTATGAATGTGATATGGGAAGTTTTACTAAATTAACAATTTAAAAGTATGTTTATATAAAATGTATACCAACAACATTTTGGGGCCTGTTTCAACGACTTCTTAGGAGTTCGCAACAAACTTGTTCATTTTTCATCAACCATTGATGAAAAATGAACTATCTGTCCTATGTTCTATCTAGTACATAGTAGCTATCCCGACATTGTAAAGCAGGCCCTAAAAGGAAGTAATGCATCATTGGCCTTTTTAGTCCTGGATTTTCGCTCATATCAAGGCTGCAGTTATTTTAAGTTTGTATTTATATCAAGTAATCAAACCAAGACCCAGAACTACTTACTGCATATAACATTCACTTTGAGAACAATTTATTTATGGATCATATGAAAAGAAGATTGGTTCTGTGGAATCCACAACACATTGCACTGCAATTGTTTGCCTACTCCATCATCTTTTAGATAATACCACATATGACTTTATAGCACTAAATGTGCTTGCTTCGCCATCATCAATAGCCTGTTAGTCTATTCCTGGACTGTGGCCTCACTTTACAAAAAGGTTTGCCATAATCGCCACACTTGGTAAGTGGGTTGAACATTGTAATTTAAAATGTTTGAGTTTATTACAGAGTGGTGCTGAGAGACTAGTAATAGAAATATCCCGACTGATTTCAATCATGATGAGAAGTCTAACTAGACTAGCCTAGTATGCATTAGATAATATAGTGCAAAAGAGTGAGCGCAAACTCAGGGGCTCTCTGTCCCATTACTCTCTAAATGTGAGAGGATGGCGGATTGACACAACAGAGAAAGGTCAGGTGCAAGACCACTGGCTTTACGTGCTTTCCGAGGCATTGGAGTGAAACAATGCTGAACTTCCTGACTCCGGGCTTTTTGGCCAGTGTTGGAATCAAACCGGCAACATGTTGCACAGCAGCGGGTTACCGAACCATTGTGCTAAAATTGAGTCTCTTATGACACTCTTGTAAAGGTACCAACTGGACTGTATTTATCTTAATACTCACCATTCTGTATCTGGGCAACTTTTTTGGCAATTTCCCTAACAATTTGCAGTCTCCATTTTTCTGCTTGTGGTAAATCTGTGCACTCTGACGCGAGATATGGTCTTCGCTCTCGTTGTCCTCCTGCTTCTTGTACTTGTGCAGCCCGCCACCGGGCGAGAGTAGTCCTGAAATAGGAACATCATACTTTAGCCATTGTTTTTCGATTAAGATGATTCTTATTGAAACAACTGAAATAAACTAAAATATAAAGGTAAAAGTTATACTTACATAGCTTTCTCTGCATTGCGAGCCTGAATGAAAAACAAAATTGGTGTTATTAAGCGATACATTTTTGAGATATAACTGAAATTTGGCGTTGTTTGCCAACAACAGGTGAAATTGGAAAAAATGTTGTAAGAACTACTTGCTTTTATAATCACTTACCATTATTATTAGATGAAATTATTGTTTATTTCTTAGAAACTACACTCTTAATATATTAAACTGACAATGATTTATATTTAAAAATCTATTAATTTACAATCAGAAGAGATAATCACAACATTTTATAACCTCAAGCACTTCGTTACTGTCATTTAACAAATGTCAAGATTGTCTTTGTCAAATTAATATTTGACATTTTGGCGTTGACAGAGTTACATGCCAGCGAAAGGCAGAATTTCAATCGGATTCATTCTACACATTGAAGTTATTCGTACAGGGGGAGGCGACTGATCTTGTTTTGGCTGTGGTCATCTCATTCTTATTTTTGTCTGTGGCTGTCACTGTCACTGTCAGTTCAATAACTCAATAAGTCAGATTTGAGTTTCGGTTCGGTGACTTGGTTATTATAGTTATTGTTCTTGGTAAACAAAACCACTTGATTATTTTTCTCAAAAACATAAGTTATAAAATCCTTGATGTCATCTGATACTGCAGAAAATGTACCACCGAGCTGCTGGGAATATTGTCCCCAAGAGTTACTATGGTTGTTCTTCAAATATGTAAAGAGTGATCTTAAATCTTTGTTAACTTGTATGACTGTAAACCAAAGATGGAAAAATCTTGTTATCGATTTTATTGAGGTAATTTTTATCCTTCATTTACTGTTCTATAATAAAGTCAGGATTTTTTATATAATTGTTTGGTTTGAAACCAAAGATGGGTGCCGCAGCTAACCTACTGGCTCATCTTTTCGTGTCGTTTTATACCTACCTACAGACAAAATTATTATATGTATCTACAGTGTAATGATTAACAACATTGTTTATTCGTGTATCATTACATTATAAATCTACTCCGATTATATAATTTTAATTATGGACAAACTAAAGAAGTTGCACACACTTAATCTCTTACGAAGCTGGCGGAGATTTGAGTGATTAGATCAAATTATACTTAAAAAATATATTTATTAGGTCTTGCATTATTAACCTACCTTCGATTACCTATTGTTGGCGTACCATAATGTAGATAAGATACTTTTTGTAATAACGTCCCCAAATATTATGTTAACGAATTCCCGAAATTGCAATGGTTACGGGAATTCGCCAGGATGAAATTGGACTCTTAGGTACCTGCTTCTTATTATTCCTGTTTATGTCGTATTAGGTACATATTATACGTAGGTATAAAGGTTTCTGCTTACGCAAAAAGAATTCGCAAAAATTTCCAACCCAAAATCTCATATTTCGCCATTGCTTTCATTCCGTTCTAGTTTGTAGGCGATGGCTTCTTTGCAAACAATAATAATAAGATTTCGTTTTATAATATTTTACAGTGTCAGCGTTTATGGCCAAAAATCGTAACAGGGGCATTGGTTAACAGAGGATGCTCATTCCAGAGAAAAACGAATCTTGATTCAAAAAAATTAGTGTTTAACTCAATGCTTTGGAATTTTGGAGACCTTGCGAAAGTAGCACTTCACCACGTTTATGAAGTAGAGGATGTTACGCACATGTATATTTATAAAGGTAGGTAATTAAAAAAACTAATTGAAGGAATACAACCTTGCTACGTAAAAATTGTGCATCAATTTAGGTACCTCCCTATCTAGGCGTTTTTAAGTTGGTACTAGCGCAAAACTAGTAGGTACCTACCTAGTAAACTAGTTTAATACCCGGCACTAGTTAATATAAGGGTCGAGGAATCGCGCATTGTGTATTTTCTCGTCTCATATAGATAATTCTATCAACCTTCCCTTATTCTTAGCTTATGTCAAGTTTTTGATCGTAGATATGGTAAAAATGAATGTGGGCAATAACCATAAAATCATGAAAAAAAAATACACAATTCGCAAAATTACTACTACCACGACAAATTGCCTTGTTCGTGCCCGCTACGAAGTTACAAATAATAGTTAAATAGGTACATAAAGAAACAAACTGTAGGCTTTGCTTTCTCAAATAGGTACAATGTAATATAATTTTATTAACTTGCATAGTAGATAAATTCGTGCGATCTTTTTGACGTCTCTAAGCTACTTGTCGTGTGTGTGATTTGTAGTGTACATAACTATTAAAATTCTGATACTTTTACGTCTATTTTTTAACAACTTGCCAACCTAGCATACCTATCTAATAAGAATAGAATTGGGTAGTTTCCAGGATACCAAAATTGAAAATCTAATTACTTCGTATATCATCATCATCATATCAGCCACAGGACGTCGACTGCTGAACATAGGCCTCCCCCAATGACTATATACATATATACTACTACTTCGTATATAATGAAAAAATATTAGACACGTATGTTTTTATTTTCTCGCATTAAGTTGCACTACTTAGGTCCCTTTTCACCAACGAAACTGATCACGATTACACCTAACAAAACTGATTGATAAAATGGCGCTAAGTTTAGGAGTGGGAGGTCGTTACGTCATAACGTGCTACAAAATGTGGCATGCTGTGACGTCACACGATATTTCAAATTAATATATCGTCAAAAGTATTTAATTTTGGTGAGAAAAGAAAAAATACGTGTCTATAGTTTTAAATTAATTTACCAGACGGACATTAAAACAAAATTTAAGAAACTACCTTAGGTATTTTAAATGCAGAAAATATCAAATCGACACATTCCCAGATTTTATTTTGTTTTTTAAATTTCAGACAGGCTGATTTTAAAGACTGATGCAGAAGTAACATACTTCGATGTTAAAAGTACAAAAAAGATCAAATCACATTTAAGCACAGGTAAGATAATTTCTTAATCTAGTTTGGTACTATGCTATAGTTATATACTACCAACCCAAATTCACCCAAACCTGTAGCGACACAGAATATTAATATGAATACGCAAGTGTCTATTTCTATCGATCTATTATGGTCAATCTTTTTATGCGTTGACTAAATAGATATGTAGGTAACCAGTCACTAATAGCCCAGACTCTGGGCTATTAGTTACTGGTTCTCTTCGCACTATCGTGTTCTCTTCTCTGGGCCCCAGAGAAGAGAACACGATAAAATAGATGACTGTGAGTTTC